CCTCTTACTCATCCCCAACCCTGTTTGGTCTTTTCTGACTGATTTTCAGGCAAGTTTGTTTCCTGTCTACTTACTTCCTTTTATCCTTAAGCTGCCAACTCCCGCATCTAAAGTTCCGACATCACTTAACCAGTTGCAGTAATCATTTATGTTCCCTCAACTTCCGGCTTCTCTCTTCCTCTTCTCAGTAACAGGGAACACCATATTCTTCACAGAGCAACAAAAGCTCCCTTTTATTGGTACAAACATGACCAATTAAGCCTTCCTGAGCTTCCCATATCTCTGAGGATAAAGACAAACCAAAGCCTATGAGGGGCTCTGTGCCACCTCAGCCACACCCCCCACCAGCCTGTCCTGACAGCTGGCCCCTGAGTCCCTACCCTAGCACTCTTCTCCTGGCACCCAAAGACCTTCACTCATGGACACAGGATAAGATTGACATGGGAAATTCTGAAGGCTTCCTCTCAACCCAAGTCTCTATTCTGCAAAAAAAAGAAAAAAAAATGTTCTGAATTCTTGACGAGATCACAGTTCTACCATACACTGACGTGCAATTCTTAATTAAAGGCAAATCCAGGCAACAAGTTAACAAACATGCATGTCTTTCTCCAGTAGTTTACCAAAAACTAGTCAGGGGAAGGGGCCATGGCTCCTCCCTGGCACCTTGCACAGCACAGCTAGTTATAAATGCAGAATTAAATAAATGATTGTTGAATGAGTGAATGAGCAGATCCCAAGTGAAATGTGACTGGGCAGCTCCAGGTTTAAGCAAAGTGTCATTTAGAGATGGACAATAAAGAGAATGAAAAACCAACTGTCAGCAAGTGACTTTGCCCCAGCTGACCAGTATCCAGGGATTACAGAATGTTGGTTTGACAAAAATCCCATTACAAACACAAGGAAGCCACAAAAATCAAGAAGATATTCATGTTTAAATATGGACTAACTTAAATACACACGCCACTGAAGTTCCCCAAGGAGAGATGGGGGTTCGCCATGGGGTCAAGTGTAGCCACGCACGCTCAGCTCATCCCGGGTCTCCACCGTGAGAAGTGGCGGCTTGGGAATGTGAGTTCTGGTCACTTCTCTGGGATCAGCATCAAAAGGAGCGATGGTGGCTGAGACCTGGCTTCCACTCACCGAGTGACTTCAAAAAGCCCACAAACTTCTCTGATTACTAGTTTCCTCTTTTACCAAAAACTACAATAACAAGACCCACCATCCAAGGTGGTAGTAGCTCACACTAAAAAAAGTGAAACCCTTTTCAATCTTTTCATAGCTAGAGAAATACTACTGATGGCCACGGTTATGATGGTGAAGGCTCTAAATACTGTCTTTGGTCACATATTGCTGCTTCATTCTGAAAGCAAAGTGATGCTTATTTTAAAACTTTGTGTTCAGTAACTTTGATTCGCTGATGAAACATAATAGACACAAAATTTTCGACAATTCTCATTTCAAGCTCACAAGGAGTCTTCCTTTTAATTTTTTGAACCCAGTTATTCAGGATGTGTTCCTGCAAGCACATCAGTGTGGTCGCTGAAACCTCAAAGCAACACACAAGGCAGGGAGTGCTGTTTCTCCAACTTAAACAGGAAGAAGTGAGGCTCTGAAAAGTTACGTAACTTGGCGGAGAGCAAACCATCGGGCGAGTAGAGGTTTATGTGCTGTGGCAGTGCTGTTCTAGGTGTTTTCCAGATGTTCACGGACTCTCCTCACGGTTTAAGGCAGCTGCCATTACTGTCCCCTTCACAGATCAGGGAACCGATGTTAGGTAACTGGTCCAGGTCACACAACTGCCAAGTGGCAGAGCATGGATTTGAAGCCAGGCAGAGCCCTCCCTTATTTATCTAGTCCCTGCACTAACTCTCATTTATTGGTGGTTTTATGCTGCTCTTTCTTGGCCTGACTGAATTTTCTAGATAGATGTTTACCTTTTTTAAAAAAAAAATATTTATTTATGCATACAGAGCTGGGTACAGGCCAGAGGTGCAGGCACGGTGCAAGGATTCACCAGAGACCGAGCAGGGAGCAGAACAGGCAGATCTACTGAAATACACTGCTGAGGGGAGCAGCAGGCAGGTCAGGAGCGGTCTGCTGTGCCATGTGGGTCACCTCCAGGGTGGGGATCAAACTCATGCTGAAGTGGCCTTAGCTTCTTAGTGCTGTGTTTTAACCCTCTGTGCCACCACGGAGCACCCAGATGATGTTTGCCTTTTTAATAATCAAGTGTTATTTTATACACACTTTAGTCAAGTTAATTAACAGTTCCTTGTCTTTTATGCAAAATTCACTAAATATTGTTCTACTTTTTCGTGGTGGCTGAGGCAGTGTCATGAGTGCAGTACTTTGATCATTCTGCCTCTGGATTTTAATTTACTTTTCATAGGGGAGTTTTCTTTCGGTCTTTTTTTTTTTTTGCCTCTTTGACTCTGCTGAGGGTTTGTCAGGGTAGAACCCATGTCAATAGTAACTACTCCAAAGGAAAGAGTTAATAAGTCCTCAGTTGAGGTCAACTTCACAGACTTGAGCACATGACTTTATCATGACAATTGCAGATTTCAGCTGAGATGAGGGAAAGTCTGGCCTATAGATAAGTTATCTGTAACTATTTTACCAAATGAGAAATCATCTATTTTATTCAGAGCTTAATTTCATTGCTGTTATTCAACCCTCAGACGCATCACGCATATACATGGGGACTTTTAAAATTCACTTTCTACAAAAAACCAAATTTTTAAAAAATACTAAATTCATTCTCTAACCCAAGGTTCACATACTGTCGAGACTCACATTTTCTATACCTCACTCCCCACCCCTGTTCCGCTTTGTTAAGTAGAACATAACAAACAGTTGAGCCCTGGCACTTTTTACAGATTCTAAGGATTCCACATTTAGTAACTCATGTAATCCAAAAACTCCATTTACAGGTTAGGAAACTGGGTACAAAAATGAAGTCACTTGTTGCAGGGGCTCGTGCCAGGAAGCTGGGATTTGAACCTGGCAGTCTGACTGGGGAGTGTGTTTCGTGGTTGCTCCTCTACTGCCCACAAGAATCCCAGTTCTAAGGGAACAGTGAATTCATTGCCAGTGACCTTCTAGCTCTGCTCAGCCTCTCCAAGTGCTCAATTCACATCAAGATAATTTTGACCTCAAGGTTTAATAGGCTTGACCAGGCAAGGTAATATTCAGGCCCTTCTTTCACCTCCTCAAGTCTTGGCTACTTGCACTTTCTTTTGACCCACCCTGTTCTGGCATGGTGCCCTGCACCCACCAGGTCGTCAATAAATACTCACTGAATGAATGAGTCTTATTTGCAGAGAGCTGATGGCGTACACAAGTTTGTGATCAAGCAGTATGTTGTGTTGTAAGGTGATGACCTAGAAGCTGCACAGCTGAATCAAAAGGTTTGTTTTTACCTTTGTGAAAGTAACACTTATGAAATATAATTTTCATAGTTGCAAACAGGTGAAAAGTTACCACCTAGACTGCACTTTGCATTTGAGACAGATGATGCCCAGTTAAAACAATCCCATGAAGCCCATTGCACTGATAAAGATATTGATTAGAGGCTGTCATTTTCTGGGGCTGCAGAGCTAAAATGCTGAAGCCCGAATTCAAACCCACATGTTTTTGAGGCTAAACCAAGGCATGAAATATAGACTACGGATTGGCATACAGTGTACTGAAAAACAGTCTTGAAATAAAAATAAATCCCATAAATCCAAAAGTCAGCTTTAATAAGCAAAAATTTCATTGACCAGATGCTATTTCTGACTTTTCTTGAACTAGCAAGGATGCCATGAAAAACGGTAACTTCACATTCAAGAGATTCATTCATTTAATTAGTGCTTGTGGAGCCCGGGAATGTAGTGGTGTCATGGTCTACAGAGTCTAAAAGAGGAAGCAGGAAACTGATGGGGCAACACCTAGGGAATGATTTGGGGAGCCGCTGTGGAGAGGTGCAAACTGTGGAGTCCCTCCTAGGCAGTGTGAACAACAGGTGAAATGACGACATACAGGAGAGAACGTGAAATGCTTTGGGAACAACCAAGATGGAAATGCAGCGGAAGGCCCTAAATTATGGTTCGGAGTAAGTTCATCCTCTTTGCAGGAAATGAAATGCCCATTTACTTCTTATAAAGATCAGTCTAATGATGGCAAGAAAAAAAAATGAATTAGATAGGGTCAGATTAGAATAAGGGAAAAGGGAGGGGTGTTGAATATGAACAAGGGGCTAGTGGAACCGTAACAGAGATGGTCATAACTGAGTTGACAGCTATTCAGAAAGTATCGCCTTGATAACTGATGGAAATGCAGAAGAGGCAGGGTCAAGTATATCAAGCAGGTCATGATTTGGGTAACAGAATAGAGGCTGGTGCCCACATACGGGACAGAAAAGCAAAGGGTCTAGGGAAGGATGGTGCTTAGGGTTGCGAGTGTGGGATTAACTGGTGCTGGGTTTTGGGGTGGGGAGCTCAGTGGAGCAGTCTAGGGTGGGAGGAGACCTTCCAGTAATCAGCAGAGACGGTTCTCAAAACCAGTAAGTGGACGGTCTCACTCACGTGGAGCTTGAAATGCAGAGGGGCCACTCCCAGTGGCATCACATTTGGAGAAGGCAGAAAAGCACCCCCAAGGTTTTATGAATGAGCCTCTAGAGATGCCGAGGCAGACTGGAAGAGACACTGAAACTCCTTTTAACCACAATTCCTCCTCAAACTGAGGAGGACCCAACACCAAACCTCGACGCCCACAGTGACTCGCCTGCCCCCGCCTCCGTCGTCGAGTGAGCCTGACTCCCTAGGCCTTGGGCTGTTCCGCAAGCCCCAGTGGGCATTCCC